CCCAAGGGATAGACAAAGAGTACAGAATATGATTCATAACATACAAAGAATGGAGGAAGAAGAAAAAGGAGGGGGAAAGGTTGTGTTTGTAAAATTCTTGATTTCTATTTTTTGTTGTGAAGGAGCCCTCGCAGTACAGCAGTAGCATTCTCCTAATGTATTTATACTCCTTCCTAGGCTCGTGTTCCCTTTTTTATGTTTGGACCCCTAATAGTAGTTATTTTATTTAACCCACTGAGGTGTGAAAGCCCAACTTAAGCAAGAGAGGAAAGTGGCTCTGTCAGAGCTCGGCCGTCAGTGACGAGTCCTGGTGGACTTGGGAGCTTCTGTCCTTGCCACACTGCTGTCCCCGCTGCGCTGTGATGACAGCTGCCCAGCTTCAGGGTCAGGCGTGGCTCCTATTGCTCACATCACGGATTTTCTGTCGGAGTCTTAGTGAAATGGTACAGCCTTCCAAGTATCTCAGCCCCTTGTTATCTTCTCGAGGAGGGCTATGCCTTCATTTCTTTGGTTTCGAAAAAAATTGGTGTTTTAAGGCTGAGGCAGAATGAAAGGAGCCATGCTTTTGAGCAGGACATAGTTTAAGAATAAGATTATTAGTCACAGGATCCCGAAAGATTGTCAGATGCTGAGACTACTTGGAAGGACTCAGCCACGTGACAATGTGACAGCTCCGTGTGGTGGATGAAGATGTGAGGGGTTGGTGTTTGTTTTCCTGAGATAAATCACTATTTCAACAGCTGTACAGAATATTGCATCCATCACTCCTTTGGCTCTGTGCAGCTGTTTTAAAAATAACCCAAAATATGTTCACTTTTAAAAAATGTGTAACTACATATGAAGGACAGAGGCCCTGGTTTTGTTGAGTACCCCAGGCCACAGGCACGAAGGGATTGACACATCGGGGGCTGGCTGTCCTTGCCCCCTTGGTGCTCCCACAGGAAGCACACAGCACGCGATGTCATATTTATAAACCGTGGATGATGAGGTGTATGACTTGGCTGCAGACCAGATGGTTCCTGGTTGTTCAGTTGCTAGTGGTGCCGGAGTGCCCGGGTCTCTGCGTGGTGCTCTCTGGGTATGTTTTCCTCTGGAGACGGTGTGTTTAGCTCTGACACAAAGACAAATACGGCTGTAGACGGAGCATAGATATTCTGGAGTGAACAGAAACGGACTCAGGGAAGGGTCTGTTGGTATGGTGTGCTCTCCTCGATGCTGAGGATCTAGGTACATCTATTAGAGAAAAGCTTTAAGGTTTTGCCCTGTCTATGGAAAACATTTTTAAAATGAGCAAATATATGTTAAGACCTCTCTTTTTTTTTTTTACTCTCTAGAGACTCAGTGAGTGATTAAAAATGATCTCGACGACTTTGTTTTAGCTAGGTTTAAATCTTAAAGTGAAGACAGGCTTCATTTGTTTTAATTAAATAAAAAATAAGGCATATCTTTTACAGAATGGGGCACTGGATCACCAAATGCTGTCGTGAGGCAGTAGTGTGATAGCAGCACGACAACCTTAAAACCAGAGCCTACATTCACAGTCCTGATTTCTGAATTAGGATGTTGAAGGTTTCTATCCCTTATCTTTGCGACAGTCGGAAAAATGCACACTTTTCTTCCTTCTTTCCCCAAACCGGCATTTTAGGAACATGATTGCCAGGAAGCGGTAGGCCTTACCTGAGCCAGGGGGTTGCGTGGTGCCGATAGAGGAAGTTAGCATTTGCCTTAAAGAGCAAGCCTTTGGGGAGGTCTCTGCTGCTATGCAGTTTCTCTTTTCAAACTTATGAATAGAAAGGCAATGAAGACCACTTTTGCTCACCCATTCTCTGGGCCACAGGAATTTATCTGAATGTTGCCCTTGTCTTAGCCATCTGGCGTCCTCTCTCCCTCTCTCCTTCGCTTCCTTTCCTTTCTTGCCTTTACCTCCTGGATACTGATTAGGAAGGTCTCAGAGAGTGTGCACACTAGGGACTAACTCCAGTGACGTAGTGATTTAGACATCTGGCTCCATAACATGAAATCCTTACAAAAGGAATTTCTGTGCATACTTAGTTATTTTTGGTCCATGATGTTTTCTTTCTTTTTCCTTTTTTTTTTTTTTTTTTGGTTAAATCTTCCTATTCTTACAGACTCTCCATCAGGGTGTGGGGATGAGATAGTGATGAACACTTTTCTTTCTAATAAGGGCCAGTGACCCCTGGAGAATAGGGTTCAGAGAAATCCAGAACTAGATTGGAAAATTGGACTGAAAAAAAATGATAGACCTTTTACTTAAAAGGCCAAAACGGAGAACGTTCTTCTCAGAAGCTTTTTAAATTAAAGAGAGTAAAGACCTTATTCAGATACTGTCAGTAGTGACAAACTATGTTTATATACATATTACATCTAAGTATGAAGCAGAGAGAAAAGAAATATGCAGACAGATGGCAAGAAGTGGTAGAGCCACAACGAGGGAGACTAAAAAAGTAAAAAGCAAGCATAAAAATTTTTCTGAAGGAAGTTTTAAAGATAGACACATAAGCCAGAATATGCTAAAATATGCATGTTGCTGCCTGCCATTCACCTCTTCTCTCCCCAGCCTTAAAGACAGTTTCCATTTTAAGAATCTAAGATCAGGAACTTCTCAAAATAAGTGTTGTTTGACTTTGGTCTTACCATCTGATCACTCTTCTGTACTAAAACTACCATACCTATATTTAGGCAACTGTATCAGACTATTTGCCAAAGGCTTTAGGAGTTGTGATTAAAGCTATTAAAGATTTGTATCAGTGTGTTGCTGTACAAGTATGAATTAAAAAATTGTTCCCCAAACCGTAAGTTGTTTAAATACCTGCCTGATGTTTTAAAAATCACTAGAATTCTAACATTCCTCTCATTTCCTCAATTTCTCTTGTGAAGTAAATAAAAAAATTAAAAACTATAATAAAACATGCTGACCATTTAATTCCATAGCAAGCTTTCAAACTAGAATGTAGTTTTAAATGATTGAGACTGTATTTCTTTTATCTATTAATAGCTTTTGTGTATAGGATTATGATTATTTAAGGTTTTGTTTATCCCTTGGGAAAGTGTTAAATGCTGTGTTAATTTGCAGCATAAAGGGAGTCTTTCCTAAGTGCAATACATACATCTTATGGTTTTTGAAAGCCTTTCAACAAAGGAATCTTAAAACTATGGCGTTTTTTTTTTAATAACAGCAATCATGAAAATAGATGATACTTTAGACACTACATCCATGGATAGCTTGAAACTAAGCCAACGACTAGAAAGACTCATGTTCTGGTTAGGTGGCCCAGGGCCACGGGGTTGACTGCCTGCCATATTTTGCCTAAGAACAAAGTAATTTCCTTATGCCTGTTTATTGGTTGAGGGCAATAGTTATCCATTTAGATCTCCTTACTGATGTGGTAAATGCTAGTCAAGCATTTGTATTTCCCATGCACCAAAAAAGTCCTCTACATTTTGTTAATATCACTTGGTTTTGGATGAAAAAAGAAACAAATTAGTAGGCCAAATTATCATGTACATGTTTTTGATCACTTTGGTATGTGATGAATTAAAACATTTTCCTCTTTAATTTATAGCCAGACAGTGGATTTTAATTCTGTACATTCCCTCCCCCTCTTTTTTTTTGGCCAAGTAGTATGTTTTTTGTAATTTAATTTTTTAAAATCTACTATTACAGTTATATGTAGAGTAAGAAGCTAAAATCCTATGGCCCTGGCTAGAGGAAACCACTTTAAATAATTTGTTACATGTACTTTCCAACATTTCCCATCATAGAATACTTTCCATGAGGGTATATGTATCCCTAAATCATTCTTTTGGCTTGCATTATATTCTAAAATGAGTATACCATAATTTACCTCTTTGACTATAGATGTACACTTGGGCCAATTCTATTTTTTGCCCTTATAGTTGATATAGCAGTAAAATTCTTCATATACATACTTTTTTTTGTATTTGTACAGGTACTTCTGTTGGGTAGATTCCTAGGAGTAGAATTGCTGAATGAAAAGATAGTGCATTTAAGAGTCTGATATATTTGGCTTAGTTGCTTTCTTAGAAGCTTGTAGAGACATTTCCCCCAAAAATGTATAAAGATGACTGTTTCCACATATCTTTCCCAATATTAGATATTAATCTTGTCCCTTGCTTTGCAGTCTGATGATATCTCCTTGTTCTAATTTGTATTTCCCTAATTAAAAAAGAGGTTGTGTATTTTTTTCATGTGTTTATTGGTATTTATTTATCTTTTACGATTGCCCTTTCAATTTCTTTGCTTGGCTTTCTTGAGTTATTTTTTGTGAGAGCTCTATATATGTCAAATGATAATCCTTTATTATGTATGTTGGAGATACTGTCTCCAAGTCTATCATTTATGTGTTACAGTATCTTTTGTCAAATAGGAGTTTTCTATTTTATAGAATCATATTTGTCAGGGTTTTTTTTTTTTTTTCCTTTAAAACTTTTGGATTTTGTGTCTTATTTTAGGGAGGCCTTCTCCCTCTCAAGATTATACACAACTTCTCCCTTATTTCCTTTCAATACTTTTTTAGGTTAAAATAATATTTAGCTCTTTATCTATTTGGAGTTATTTATATATAAAGTATGATGTAAGACTAACCTTTTTTCCTACATGAATATCAAATTATCCTATTGATAATTTGAATGTATTGAATAGTGTGTTTTCTTCACTGATTTCAAGTTCTTTTTATGTTCTTGATTCTTGCATATAAATGCATCTGTTTTTGCACTTTCTGCCATTCTGTTGATCGACTTCTCTCTACACTGGCACTGTTTTGATATCTGGTAGGGAAAAATCCATCCTCCTTTTACAAAAGTTTCTTATCTAATTTTAAGCATTTATTTACTTTTCCAGAGGAACTTTATAATCTGTTAAGCAATGTCTTAATGCTTATTTAAATGGTATTTCATACATTTAGGATTTATTCAGTAATCTAATCTGTAACTTTCCCCCGCCCCCCCTGACATTTCAGAGTCCTATGAATGGAAATTCACATGAATCAGTTCAGTCTAGAAGAGTAGTGATTTCTCATAATATGGACAAAGCTCTGAAAGAAGGTAAGGATTAAATGTGAGTATATGATTACCATGTAAAGCCATTCATCATCTGAAAGAAATTGTAATCTCTAGCAAATATCCTTCTTGTCTGTGTATAGCATTAGGAATTTTTCTACATGAATATTTCTTTGATGATTAAATAGATACATCCTTGTTTTAGTTGAATGGACAAGATTTAACATTCATTAAGAAGGAATTTCTGGGTCACGGGAAGCTAGCCAGCCATGTGGAACTAGTTTCCTATGAAGCAAGGATCTGTTCAGTTACCTAATGTAGGTATCAGCAAATATATTTTTTGTTTTGGATGTAGCCTAGAACAGGTGTGTTGGGGATAAGTGCACCCAGGCTCACTCATGTACAAACCAGTTAACCAAATTAGGGGATTAGCTGTCAGCCTTACGAAAGAATAAGGAGCATGCAGGTGAAGCTTGTATTGGGGAAGGTTGAGGGGGGCCTGTGGACAGTACAGTATGATTGTATGTCTAGACGTGGGAACAAGTAGATGTAATTAGAAATCTTAAGGTTTAAAAGAGAATATATATTGATCAAATTAAGGTTTAAAAAGATATCTTAAATATCAAATTTCTGAAGACACGGACAGTTTCAGTTATATGTGCAGGAAAAAAAGTTAAAAATTTTCAGGTGAATACATGATGTTAGATATCAAGTTAAGAGGGAGCTAAATAAGTGATACACACATAAGCAGGTATGTTTTACTTGTTATCCTTCACAGAAGTCACTGGATTAAACCTTAAAGATGAGTACTCTGCAAGTACAGGCACAGCTTGAAATCATGTGGATTTCTAGAATTTTAGAAATTTTGGGGATGATAAACTTTTAAACTATTTAATTCATAGTTTAAATATGAAAACTTTGATAAAACTGGATTTTAATTTTGGCTTTTAGTTATTATCTCAAAATCATGGCTTTAAAAAGTAACTCTTAATTGCCTTTTTTGAGGTAAAATTTACACACTTTGAAGTGCACAAATCTTATGGGTATGATTCAGTAATGTTTATAAGTGCATGTAACCATTTAAGCACCACTCCAGTCAAAATAAAGAACATTTCTATCATCCTAGAAAGTTTGCTTCATGTCCCTTTCTAATCAGAACTTACCCTCCACTGGTCCAATTTCTGTCACTATAGGTTAGTTTTGCCTGTTTTTAAACTTCCTAGAAATGGAATCATACAGTATGTAGTCTTATATGCTGGCCTCTTTTGCTCAGCATGTTTTTGAGATTTATCCATGGTGTGTGTCTCAGTTCATTCTTTGTTATTGCTGAGTAGTATTCTATTATACTAATATGACTTTGTCACAATATATTTATCCTTTCTTCTTTCAGACATTTAGCTGTTTCTAATTTTTTCGAAATGCAATGCATACAGTAGCTATAAGCAAGTATTTTTGTGGATGTGTGTTTTCATTTCTCTTGGACAAATTCCTAGGTGTAGAATTGCTGGGCCTCAGGGTGGTTGTGTGTTTATGAGAAATTGCTAAATAATATTCCAAAGGGATTGTATCATTTTAGACCCCCACCAATGTATGAGTTCCAATTGTTTTATAATATTACCAACATTCATTGTCATTCTATTTTAGCCATTCTAAAAGGTATAAAATAGAGTCTTAAGTAGCCTTAAATTGCAAGTCCTTGATGACTAGTGATGTTGAATATCTTTTCATATGATTACTGGCCATTTCCATGTCTTCATTTGGTGTCCAAGTCTTCCCTTGTTTTCAACTTATTATTTGACTTATTTCTTTGCAGGAGTATTTAAAAAAATATATTCTGTATTCACATCCTTTGTTGTCAGATATAGGTATAGTGAGTATTTTCTCTTGGTCTGTAAATTGCCTTTTATTTTCTTAATGTCTTTGAGCAGAAGTTCTTAATTTTGATGAAGTCCAATTTACCAGTCCTTTTTTTGTCTGTTCTTTAGATAGAATAATTTTTATTCTCCTGTCTTCAAGTTCACTGACCATTTTTTCATTATTTCCAATCAGTAGTTAAGTGTGTACAATGAATTTTTATTTCAAATATTGTACTTTTCATGTCTATAGAGTTTTTATTTGGTTCTTTTTTGCAGCTTTTTTTCTTTGCAGAGATTTCTCATCTGTCACTCATGGTAACCATCTTCTTTCTTTAATTCTTGAACATATTTGTAAAAGCTGCCTTAAAGTTTCTGTATGCTAATTTTAACATCTGGGCCATCTTGAGGGTAGTTCCAATTGGTTCCTTTTTCTCTTAACTTTATGTTACTTTTTTTGTTTCTCCTCAGCTCTAGTTTTTTTTCAATTCATACTGAACAATGTGGATATTACTTTGTAGATACTCTAAATTCTGGTATCTTCCTCTGAAAAGTTTTGGTTTTTGTTTTAGTCTGCAGTAGCTGATCACCTTACAGATTCTTGGTTTTATACATTTTTTAAGAGCGTGTCTGTTTGGGTTTTTGACCTTAGTCTAAGATGAATCACTCTCGGGACACAGGCTTAACTCATGTGTTTATGGTCCTGCCACAGTCACGCCTCCAACTTGATGGGACTCCAACTTCAAACTCTGTCGGCCTGGGGAGGACAGCAGTTGAAGTATCCGCTCAGTTCTTTCAGTCTCCCAGCTCTTAGTTTGCGCTGGTCTCCTCATAGCGTTGTGTACGTATGTGTGTTGTCCAGAGACAGAAAGGCATGGGACTTTGTAATCAGGTGTTGTGGTTTCATCTTTCTCGTGTTCTGTGCCTTCATTTCCAGCTGCTTTGGCGGTTTCTAACTCTGTTTTCTGATATCTTAAATAAAAAAAAAGGAAACAGATGTAAGTCTAAGTTTGAACTGCCTGGTGCCTACAGGACTGTTGAGTGCCTTCAGGGGAAAGTTGTATAAACATGACTCACACTCAGTACTAGTCCTGTCTTTCAAGGGTAGATTCCCCTTCAGTTTCACCCACTCTCTGGTGGTTTTCCAGTGTCTTTAAATAGTTCCTTCCTGATTTGTTTATTACCCCAGAGTTCCTAATTGTTTTCTGTAGGAAAGATAGTCCAATATAAACTGTCCACCATCCCTGGTGGAACACAGTCTCTCTCTCTTTTTTTTTTAAATTATAAAATAGACATAATGTAAGATTTACTATCTTGACTATTTTTAAGTGTACAATTCAGTAGTGTTAAGTACATTGTTATGCGGCGTCTCTAAAACCCTTTTCATGTTGCAAAACTGAAATTCCACGGGTTAGGCAAGAGTTCACACTCTCACCTTCCGCCAGCCTCTGGTACCCATCATTCTGTTTTCTGTCTCTAGCAATTTAACTTTAGGTATCACATATAAGTGGAATCATACAGCTTTTGTCCTTTAGTGTTTAGCTTATTTACTTATCATAATGCCTTCAAGGTTCATCCATGTTGTAGCTTGTGTCAGTTTTCTTCCATTTTGGGGGCTGATTAATATTCCATTTTATGATTATACTGTATTTTGTCTATCCATTCATCCATCAATAGACACTAGGGTTGGTTCTACCCCTGCCTCTTGTGAATAATGCTGCTGTGAACAATAATGCTTCATGTTATGAAGTCTTAATTTTTTAAGACTTAGAATTTTCTCTGTACTTAGATGTGACACGTTTATCTAGCATGGAACAATTTGTTTCAGAAATATTTATGGGGAAAAAAAGACAGTATAAGGTCTGAGGCCTTGTTGAAAAAAAGAAAAAAACTACCACAATTATCCTCAGGCTAATTTATGTGCAGTGATTTATTTTGAAAGGAAAATATCCAAAGCCTTTGGATAATAGCTTTATTAGTTAATTATACTTTAGTACGGTAATTTTTTCTTTCTTTTTTTCTTTTTTACCATACTCCTAATGTTTATAATTTCTTGTCCTTTATTTTCAGCAAAATCACTTCCAAGGAGGTTGAACATTATATCATCTACCAAAAGGCTTCTATAAAGTTGGTTATTGGAAATAAAATTTATGCATTCGGCAGTAGTTTTTATTTTTTATTTTTATTTTTTTATTAAGGTATCATTGATGATATACACTCTTATGAAGATTTCACAAGAAAAACAACGTGGTTATTACATTCACCCTTATTATCGAGTCGTCCCCATACTCCACTGCAGTCACTGTCCATCAGTGTAGTAAGATGCCACAGAGTCCCTATTTGTCTTCTCAAAGCTACACTGTCTTCCCCATGACCCCACACACACCATGCGCACCAATCATGATACCCCACAAACCCCCTTTCCCTCCCTCCCCACCTGCCCTCCCCTCCCCCTTCCCTTCGGTAACCACTAGTCCCTTCTTGGAGTCTGAGTCTGCTGCTATTTTGTTCCTTCAGTTTAGCTTTGTTGCTATACTCCACAAATGAGGGAAATCATTTGGTATTTGTCTTTCTCTGCCTGACTTATTTCACTGAGCATAATACTGTCTAGCTCCATCCATGTTGTTGCAAATGGTAAGATTTGTTTCTTTTTTATGGCTGAATAGTATTCCACTGTATGTATGTACCACATCTTTATGCATTCATCTACTAATAGACACTTAGGTTGATTCCATATCTTGGCTATTGTAAATAGTGCTGTGATAAACATAGGGGTGTGTATGTCTTTTTGAATCTGAGAAGTTGTTTTTGGGTAAACTCCTAGGAGTGGAATTCCTGGGTCAAATGGTATTTCTATTTTTAATTTTTTGAGGAATCTCCATACTGCTTTCCACCATGGTTGAACTAGTTTACATTCCCACCAGCGGTGTAGGAGGGTTCCCCTTTCTCTGCATTCTCGCCAGCATTTTTTGTTCCTTGGCAGTAATTTTTAAAAAACAACAAATTAAAACCAAAACTGACTTCTAAAAAGGTTGTACATTTAATTTAATGAGGAATGAGAATCTAAAAATGTGGAGTAGGCTAAGAGGTTTCATAAGCATTTAGAAAATCTATAATAATTATAATTTGCATCTCCAGGGTATTTTAATTCACATTTCTAAGCCCGGCATCCATTCTATTTAATTGAAATTCCAAACATTATTAGCTAGCTGTAATAGACTTGAATTGGTAAAACTGAGCTTGTCTTGGTATGCTTGCAAAATATAAATAATAGGGATACTTGTTAAGGCTAAAGTAATTTGAATTCAGTTGATTTGAAATGTTTATGAACTATTTAACAATTTCCCCTAGAAGTTAGTTTAAACCAGATAATCACTGTACCATTTTGTCTTTATATATCTATTTTACTCCTTTTAGAATATATAATTTAAAACAGATTTATTCAAAGAGTTGAGTAAAATACAAGGCCTACGTGTGTGTCTGTGCATGTATATATGGTTTATGTATGGATTTTTTTTAATTCAAGTGTCTTTGTATTATGGCTCAGTGTAAGTTAGGATTTGTCCTAAATCCTCGTAGATTGAATTATAAAGAAGAAAGATAATATTTTAAAAGTGCAGAGCAGAATAATACAGTTAGGCTTTCTGTGGAGCAATGCGAATTACTAAAGCTACAAATGCTGGAAGCTAAATGGCATATGTAGGGAATATGTTCAAAGTGTATCATTAGTGTGTTTTGTTAGCCAATGTCAACTGTAAAAACTATACTTTAGCAGTTCAGATATTGTATGAATGGAGCTATGTATGAATGAATGAATGAAACTATAGTATGAATCACAACACCTGCCTTTCTATACCACATACCCTCAAAAGTTTTTCCTCTAGTTGCATTTCCTTGAAAAATGATGGGAGATAGAATAAAAGACTTTAAAAATCTTTTTGACTTAGTATTAAATCTCAGATCCATAACCTAAATTTTACTAGGCTGCCCTGATTTTACTCACTAATGTGGACTAGAGAATTGAATTTAGTAACTATTGAATACTTGCTATTTCCTCAGGAGAAATTTAAATTTAAGTTCTTAAGCTGAAAAAACAGTTCTTCATAAGGTTTTATCATTTTCAGAGCACTGAAACACTGACCTTAGTGCCTTTTCTTGTCAGGTACTGTATGAGTGTCTTAGAAATACTGTTACTTTCATTACTCTTTGTAGCTGCTCTTCACAAATGCAAAAAACATGTACATGTCAAAGTGAATATATTTGTTAGTTTGGCCCCTAATGCTTTTCTGAATTTCATTGCTAAAGGTGCCTCTAAATAAAGTAGCATTATGCAAAAGGCCATGCTTGAGAATATTTAATAGTAGGTGACCAGGTTCTAGGAGAAATGCTATCTTGGGATTTGCTTCTTTCAGCTAAGTGTTACCCATTGCTTTGTTCATGCCTCATAGTGTTTGACTACAGTTACCGAGATTACGTTCTGTCCTGGTATGGAAACCTCAGCAGAGATGAGGGACAGCTTTATCATCTGCTCTTGGAAGACTTTTGGGAAATTGCCAGACAGCTGCGCCACAGACTGAGCCACGTGGATGTGGTTAAAGTCGTCTGCAATGATGTTGTAAAAGCTTTGCTCGCTCACTTCTGCGACCTGAAGGCTGCGAACGCCAGGTAAGTGATATATTATGAACAATCTCTCCCCTGTTCCCACATTAATACTTTGCTTATTGAGAAGGGGGTCAATATTAGGACAAACCTCTGGAATATCCTACCAGTTGCTGTCACCTGGCTTGAAATATAGACATATTGAAGGAGAATAATTACAGTGTCCTGATAAAATAGTGTTTTTTTTTTTTAACTTTCTAATAGAAAGTCAACTTTAAAAACTTCTTTAATTTTGTAAATAACTTAGTGCTGGCTCTGTGGAATTCATTTCACTATCATGAATTTATTTACTATGGGTACCTAGAAACAGAAAATGTAAATGTAGTCTTTTATGTTTGAAGAGTGTCAGTTTACAATTTTCAGAAAAGTTTAAATAAAGATCATGATTCTTTATGTGAGTCCTGTGTTAAGAGCTCTGTTGTATCATAATATCCTGAAAACTGATTTTTAAAAGGAGCTCAGTATTGGAGCTTAATGTAGTGGGCTATAATTAGAGAAGTTGTTTCAATGTGAAAATTGCTGTTATGTAGGCTTGTCAGCCCTTTGTCCTGTTTCATTGACAAGGTCTGTGTGTGCCTGTGAGGTGACTCGGCCTTTGGAAGAAGACTTCAACAAGGCCATTTCTGTGTTCAAAACAAAATTTTTTCTTTCTTCAGTTTGCTGATAGGATTTTAAGTGTATGTTGTACTTTGAGTGTGAGAAAGATGACGTCACAGCACTTCCAATCTCATATAAAAATTATCTTACTGGAATGAATGGCCTGCTGCCTGTTTGGATATGGACTCAGTTGGAGTAGGAGAGGGCTCCCTCAGTTAGTGTGGCTATTCTCCCTGATATTATTTTACACTATTTTGATGTGGCTCTTCTCCCTGATGTTATTTTACACTACTTTGAGGGAAGAGATGCAGTATTTGAAAAATACACAAGGGGATGGGTAAACATTGGCATCCTCATTAGGCAGCTGGTAACACATACCCTCTTCTGAGAAGCCCCGTCATGTGGGTTTGTCAGCACCCAGTCCCTGTCCCATCCCGTGGTGTTGCTCTGTGGAACTGGGTGCTAAATGTGGTTGTAGCTAGTTTTCTGTTCTCAGCTCTGCAGCCTCTTACCATGAACCTCCCTCTCCCCTACAGTCTACCTAGTACAGGCTTATGAGGTCAACCCCCACTGAACCGTTGCATGCCTATTATTTTCTGGCCTGCTGCCTCCAGTATTTTGCAAACTTTAAAAAATCTGGCCCACAGTAAGAAATATATTTTACATCTTGACTCAGTGTTATAAAACAATACTCTTATTACCTGTAATAACTGATACTTGTTCTTTAACATTTTCAAAAAGTGGTGTTTGAGACTATCTAAATCTTACCTCATTCCTTGTGGGTCACAGCCCATGTCTGAAAAAATTCCTCTAGAGCAGTGGTTTTCATAGATGTTTTGGTCTCAGGATCCCTCTATATCCTAAAAGTTACTGAGAACCTAGAAGAGCCTTTATTTATGTGAGTTATAGCTCATGTTGTGTCAGTGGCAGCTTGTATTGGTTTGAGAACCAGAATGGAAAAAACAAGTGACATTTTTGTATTGCTATGAGTATAGTTTTGACCTTACATACCCTGAAGGGGTCGTAGGGATACACAGGTGTCTCCAGACCATCCCTTGAAAACTGCTGTTTGTAGAGAAAGTAAGTAACTTCAGGTAACGGGAATGTGAACTAATAAGGGAAGTGAGAGAAACAGAACTGTTACCTTACCTCCCTAGAGTCTCAAAAGCTTCAGCCTCTGCCTTTCAGTGCTCAGCAAAGCCTTGGAGCACCTGCTAATTTGCTGTGGTACCATTCTAGAAAATGTTCATAGTTCTGCCTGGCAGATACTGTCAAGGCTTGTTTGAATTCAGTGGAAGCTCATATTAAAGCATTCAAGTTATTGTCCAACAGAGGACAGTGTTATAAATGTTCCAGTTATAAGACTGATGGATTTAGATTTGGGGGAAGAACAAATGGTTAGAGAAATGTATTATTTTTATGATTGTCGAATTCCAACATGAGAAATATTTTTCTCTGAGACATTTATCAGCTGCTGAAACTAATGCTTTGTGGATAATATAAAGATATGTAAAGCATCAGAATAGGAAAAACAGAGAAATTGGTTCTATTTTAGAAACTCTTTCTCTTTGGGCTTCTAGTTTTCTTATGCCTAGGGTAGATTTATTCTTACCAATGGCTAGGCTATGCCAAGAAGCTCTAGTTGATCATTCTTATTAAAGAAAGAATCTACCATTTTCTCTGAGATTATGGATATTTGAAAAAGTGACAATAGGTCAGTGGCATTTTGCATATCAATGATTGTGCCCTGGAGGTGGTGAACCCTGGAGAATTAGTTTCTGGTTGTGTATCATCTTCTACAAATCACACAATGATTCATGGTGAACCTAGGTCTGATGGCTCTATCTGTGCATGCCTGCCCTGGGTAAACAGTGCGTTTGTTCTCGAAATCTCCACTGGTGTTCAGATATCTATTAGCTGCAAAATGACTTTGGCAGCCTGGGAAGCACCTAATTGAACTGGCCACTATCAGACAAGAGAATAATAAATTGCATTAATAAAAGAGACACATACTCTGCTTGACTGTTAGTTAGGCAATTGTGTGGAGGCAGCTTTCCGGTCAGCCTATATTTATTTCCAGGCTGACATTTTATTGCTGCTTTAAGCCAATCCAGATCACACTGAAGCCAATCTTGTCCCTGCTTCCTCTTTCATTGTCCCATCTGTCTTGTTCTAACATGTTGCAGGAAAATCTAAAACTGATTGTTTTTAATGCTATTTTCAATAGCATCTTTAATTTTGTAATTTCCTTCTTATGATCTCTGTGTTTTGTTTACCAGCCAAGCATTGGCATTCAGTTTAAAGAAAAAAATTGTTTTTCTTCACATACTGTCCCTGTTTATCTCTGGAGTTTTTTTCCCTTTACATCTTTGCAATCTCTGATTATGTGTAGTGTAAAAAGTCTGGGCTTGAAAGAACAGGAGAGTTACTCCGACCATTTATTACCTTTGTGAGTTTGGACTGTATACCTATCAGCTCAGATCCTTAATATCATCACCACGTTATAGATGAGAATATTTTATCTCAGTGTAGATGGGAAGATTAATATTGCACATGTGAAATTTACAAAAGGTTAATCTCTTTTTGCTTGCTCAAGGAATGAGACCCCAGAATTAAGTAGTAGGAATTATGTCAACAAACAATTGATCCACATTGATGGAAGGGTGTCGCCAGGACTAAGGCTGCAATCCACCAAAAGGCTGGATGGATATCTCCTAACCCAGAGTAGCCATAGGCCTCGTGGTCCTTTCTTGGTCTCAATACTTGAAGTCCATGCACTAGAAAGCATCATGGGAATATCCTTGGAGCGCACAGAGGGATTCCAGGGAAGCATTTACTTTGACCTTCCCTATAGATCAAGCTTGATTGACAACCGTCTGGCCTTTGGCTCACACAGAAGTCTTTTCTCTAATTCAGTTCTAGGAGGTGGGAGGAAGGGGGATAGAGGGAGAAGTCTGAGGACTAGGCTTCTTTTACTATCTGCCTTCCATTGTAACAGAGAAGGGACTGTGTGTACTTTGAGAGGGATTTTGATATTTGAAGAAGGCTCTTGTTAAAGTGGGTTATTTTTGGCCAACTTCCCCCAATAAATATCAACCAAATTTTAAAGTAAACTTTTACCTTTAAAGCTGCCAGACATGAGAAAGCATCCAAATCTTACTATATTAAAATATCAACTCTAGCTGGTAGCATAACGAAGTTTTAAAATAATTGAAGATGCCACTTTTTAAAAAAGTCAACATATATCAGTATATATGCAAAGGCTTAGTCTTAAAATCAGAGAACAGAGGTGCATGTTCTTGGTTTTGCACGTCAGTGTTGCATTCCTCTTGCTTGTAGAAGCCAAAGGGGAAAACTCTTTTCTTTAGTGTATGTGCTCTAGAAACTAGTCTTCATTCTCTAGTGCAAAAAAACATTGCAGTTAACTCCTGGAAGGCACCAGTCATAAAAGCACCAATATGCATTAATTTCTTTCATTCCCTGCATAGTTCTTAGTATGCTTCCTTCCCCTCTGTTTAGCAATCTTTTTTTCTTTTTTCAGTATTGGCTGCAAGTTACTATGAGAAGCCCATAAACTTTTTCTCTTATCTGGAAGTTGTGAGCAAAATCATCTTCCCAGTCTCTCTTGAACTGCTCTCAACATACTGTGGGGAGAGGAGGTAGGAGGCGCCTACTCCTCTTCTCTTCACTCAGCTCCTCCGAATCAGGTCCTGGGGATGGGCTCGGTGCTGATAGGGAATCCATGGCCAGGCTTGGCAAGGCGAGGAGGAAAATACATGGGAGCCTCCCAGAAGGCAGGCAGTTTGCCACCAAATTATGTGGCGTTAAGTCATGGCTCCTCGGGGAATGCCCATAAGATTTTTATCCCAGGATGACCCAGTCAGGAAAGCTGGCTGGTGACCCTGGTTTATGCTTCATTAGATTTTTTTTTTTTTTAATGAAGATGTAGATTATATTTAAGAAGAGATCTGGGAGATTTAAAAATTAATCAGTTAAAGAAATACTCATACCTTTCTGGCTTGTTGTGATTTGGGTTATGTGTAATTGCTGATGCCACCTGAGGTTTGGGGTACCACAAGGCCGTGCATTTGCATTTTTCCAAATTAGTCTGTAATTGAGAAAATGATCGACTATTGAAATGTTTGAGGACTATATTGCCCAGTTACTGTTTTTTACGTAGTAGTACACAACCAAATTGTTTCTGGAAGTTTCTTACTTTTTTTCTCTCTCTCTCTCTTTATATTTTTAGACATGAAGAACAGCTGAGGCCTTTTGTGTTACATGCATGCTTGAGGAGCTCAGATGATGAAGTAAGATTCCTACAAACATGTGCTCGGGTTCTGGTGTTTTGTCTTCTCCCCTCAAAGGATGTCCAGTCTCTCAGCTTACGTATAATGCTTGCAGAAATTCTCACGACCAAAGGTAGACTTCTATAAGCAATTGATATTACTGATGTGATGTAATTGTGCAAATGGATATGCTATCTACTAATGTGATAACACTTTATATGACACCTATGCAGGCCTTGTATACTGTGGGCCATGTGGGATTTAAAATATTTCCCAAATTTCAAGGCTAAATGTCACTCAAAGAGGGCATCAGTTTGTCTACAGATGATTAGCAGATTTTTTATATGAAATAACTGCCAAATGCATAATTGCTGAAATTCTGTTGTTTATTTTGACACAGGATAACCAGTCCTTCTGCTCTTCACAGGGAAGTATCCATTTGGGGTAGCTTTGAGTTATCCAGGCCAACAATATATACATTAATGAAAGAATAGCTATATTCAAACTCCAGTGTGCATTAATTTAATATACCTTTGCTGTAAGATTCATTGATAATATCTGCACATAATTTTGTGACCTTGGAAGAAATAAAAAAAGAACTGGCCTACAATATGATATGCATACTAGAAAACAGTATATCCAGGGAAATGCTTAGCCAGGGTAAGAAAAATGGAAGAAAATATGATCTAAGAGAAATTTTTCTATCTCAGAATCTCAAATAACATTACATTTAATAAGCCTTGATTGGATATCTCATTTATTATCTGAGATTTAGCCAGCTGTGCCCATTAGCTGGTACAAACAGCCACAGAGAAAAGGGAAACTTTTTAGCCTAAAACAGTGAGATGAATTTTTATTAATGTCACTGACTTTTTAACATCTTCCTGTCTGAGCTCTGCTTTCACCTGTTGGGAGAATGTTGACTGTCATCTTTCTGGCAGATAAAACATATTAAGCCTTATAAAAGAAAAATCAGGTGCCTTAATTTTGATAGCTTTGTTGGCAAGGTGGGTTCCCAGTGACTTTCATTATTACTTTGTTTTTCACTCGTTTGTTCCAGCAGCCACTTGACTGTAGTCATGGTTGGTAGTGTACCCAGAAGGATAGGCAGCTGTGTGTGTGTGTGTGTGTGTGTGTGTGTGTGTGTATGTGTGTGAGAGAGAGAGAGAAGTTTTGAATATTTGAATTGTTTGTATTTTCTCCATTTGGGTAATTTAAAAATGCTTCCCAAATGTAATTTCACTTATATAAAACCATTCCTCCAGTGGAGAATACCTTTCTCAGTGGTGCTTTCTTTTCCTTCCCACAGTCTTGAAGCCAGTAGTGGACTTACTCAGTAACCCAGATTACATCAACCAGATGCTGCTTGCTCAGCTTGAGCACCGAGAACAGATGAATGAGCATCACAAGCGAGCCTACACCTATGCTCCTTCTTATGAAGAGTTCATCAAGCTTATTAACAGCAACTCTGACATTGAGTTCTTGAAGCAACTAAGGTATTTGGTGTTCAGTTATAGCACGATAATAGCGACTAATTATCATCCTCTGTCTAACTAAAAGAAATAATGAGGTTGTCAGGGAAGCAGCCATAAAGGAAGTCCATACATATTACCATTCAGTGACAACTAAATTTACCCGGCTTCTCCTTCAGCAGTGGAGTTAGCTTTTTAAAGTATGATGTTTTTCAAATAATTAGGTTATAATAAGTTGAAAGGTGTTCAGTTGTTACAGGTCTCTGCATAGCTGCTAAGATGCTAACCTTAGGAAAGCATTGGAAGGAGGTGATGTGTTTTTAAAATTACATTGTAGAACATCATGTTGATTTTCATTTTTCTTAGAAATACAGAGAGGCCTGGGTTTGGGGATAAGGACTTCTTGACTAATTGTCTTGAGAAAACCCATTTGAAATATACCTCAGGAGTCTCTTTTATAATGGGGAGTTCAATCTCTCTTCTCCTACTTGAGATATTTTAGGGCTGAATGTGTTTTTATGTATTTTTTTTTTCTTTTCACAGTATAGGCATATACAGGATGATTTTCTACTATTGTGTAGTTTGGGCTTTTCTAAGCTTCTGGTTCTCTTGTTATGCTTCTGTTTTTGTGTCCCAAATGATAATACATGGAGGAAGAAAGGGAATTGTGGTATGTCAGTTTTGCTTTTAATAAGTAATTTGGGTAAATCCCTGGAAAAGTAAAACATTTCCATTTGGCTGAAATTGGGTCTTCAAACTCTTTTGAGTTCAAATTTTTTTGACTTGTCACATTTGTCTCTGAACCAGGGCCAACATTAAGGTGAGTTATGTTGCTTAATTTTCTAATCAGAATAATACACCGTGTATGAGGTGTACATTGTGGATGGCACTGAGTTCTTGTACTCTGTCACTTAGTAATCTAGGTTCTGCAAATGTACAGCCATCGGTCAATTGCATGGATTTTGTTTACAAGTAATGTAATTCTTAGGAAATATGATCAGTGGAGATTTTATTCATGCCTTTCTTTCCATGCATTATCTTGAATAAGCTATATGGCACTCATTCATTATAGACTTGTGATTATTTATGTCTGAATCTAGAACTTTGTTTCTGAAAATTGTGACACGTGAGCTGATAGAGAACCCAAAGGTCTCTATTCTGGGTTTGTTATCTGAAGCTTACAGGTTACACCCACTCAAGGGTCATCCTTACTGTGGCTTCCTTTGATTCCTTTTAAAGTGTCATTCCATTGAAAGTAAAAGAACTCACAATGACAGGGCACCCTTACTGCCTCCCCTTTCCCTTAAAAGTCTCAGTGCACATGCACATACACACCGCCCCCCCAAGTGCTGGTTTAAAGTATGCAAACCTATGCCCTAATATTCCTCTCCCTGGTGCTTTTATACCCATTGTTCCCAGATGTGCTATGTGTGATGTGATAAAGGTAATGTGATGGCCATCCTCTGAGAAATTGCAGTTTCCTCCTAAGACATGGTTTATGAGCAGATGGTAGCTCATATTGGTAAATCATGGATACATTGAATGTCTAAGTATTTTCCCCCTTTAACAGTCTTTCCACAATCAGGTCAGACATGGACCATGGCAACTCCAAGGGAGTTTAAGCCAACAATCTAGAATCAGTAATGGCAGATTCTGAAGTGAATCAGTACCTATTCTACTTCCAGGCTCACAGAGGAGTGTTCTGTGTACCAAAAAGATTCCAGCACTGCATACATGGTGACTTAGATGCTAGTGTAACAAAAAGGTGCCAAAAGACATTTTTCAGAACGAATTATTTTGAATGATCAGCCTTTGGTACTGCAGCACCATCTGTCATTTTGTTTGTGAGCACAGTTCCTGCATTGCAAGATGTATGAATCTTGATTAGAATTGATGGTTTATCTTCAAAATGTACTAGCCAAAAGTTCAGGACTACTTGAAATGCTATGAATATCGCTGTTGGCAGTCCATCCTCAAGTACATAAAGAAGTAGCTCGGCAAGAATTGCCCTTTGAAAAACAAAAGCACAGGATCTGTTGCCAGGGATGATTGGACAACGTGTCACAGCAAGAGCATCATGGAGTCCCTTCACCTGAGTGGCCAAAGACAACCCCAGATGTTCTGATTGCACATTGTCCCTTTTGCCTCTAATACGTGATGAAATAAAAACAGAATGAGCGCTTAAATCCTTCTGTGAGATCATTTCTTGATCTCATAGGGCAGCATCGCAGGCTAGCACAGCTGAGAGTCCTAGGAAGCAGGTGCTCTGGGCACTGAGAGCCTTTGGACACAGTAGAAATGCTGAACTTAAGAATGGGTTTTTCAGAAATGAGGCAGAGTTCACATACCGTAAAAGGCACCATTCTAAAGTGTGCAATTCTGTGTTTTCCAAATAGTCAAAGACCATGCAACCATTACCCTTAATTCCAGAATATTTTCATCACCCCAAAAAGAATACCTGTATGTACTCACATTCTTCTTCCCAGGCCCAGGCAGTCACCAATCTACTCTGTCTCTATGGCTTTGCCACATTCTGGACATTTCATATAAGTGGAATCATGCAACATGCGGCCTTTTGTGTTGAGCTTCTTTCACTCAGCATCATGTTTTCACAGTTCATCGACATTGTGGCATGTGTCAGTACTTCATTCCTTTTTCTGGCTGAATACTGACCCATTGTATGAACATACCACATTTTATTTATCCACTTTTCAGTTGCTGGCCAGTTTGGGTTTGCTGCAATTTTAAAGAATGTCTTTTGAGTGACCGTTAATCATCAGCAGCAGTGTTATCAGTGACTGTCGATAAATAAATGAGAGTAAAATAAAATATTGCATATTCCTAACCTCTTCCTACCATCACCTTCCCAACGATATTCCTGCAGCCAACATGGAGTGATGGAGCGCAGACACCAGCAAGGGGCATTCCTTTTGTGTGTCATTTCAATTCCATGTATTACGTCTCTTTGTTAGGCCTTGATAGGCTTACTGTTAGGCTCTGTTTCCAACCAAGTGGACAGTGTCATGGGGTCATGAAGGTACTTTGTTGATTAAAGATCCAACTCTTAAGGTGCCTGCTCTATTAGAAACAGGAAGAATACATTTTCAGAATTAATGAAGTAGGCGTAATGACTGAGGCCATCCGGAGTGACCTGTTCATCTGACCTCCGTCTCTTTATAAGCTTTCAGTTCCTCATGTAAATCTTGGGAAGTATGTTGATAGCTTCCCCTAGAAGGGCTGCAAAATTCTCTTGTAATGAGGGTAAACTTCTTGAAAGAGTTGTATGCAGTTGACAACATCAGCTATGGGATCATGGTAACCCTAGAGAATTTGTAGTCCCCTCAGCAAGCTTGGCAAAAAAGCTTGGGAGAAAATACTGGGAAGGGCATTTTTCCCAATGATAGACAGGCACAGCCAGAGTTCCCCTCTGAATACTCTGGTAAATACTGCCTTATCCTGAGGCATCCTTCCCTGGACCTGTGACTATGACTTAGTTCCTGGGCTTTGCCCAGTGAGAGAATGCCAGGCAGTTCTGTTTGAACAGCTGCCCCTGTTCATTGTACCTCAGGATAACCTGGGGGCCAGCCTGTCTTTGCTACTTCTTGACAGCTTGAACTAGAAAGCCTTCCAGGAAAACTCTGCGATGGTAGAGACTATCTTTTTTTCCTAAAAAGGTAGGTGATGTTGCTTAAGTTATCTGGTTACTTGGCTACTTATTTATCTGATAGAAAAATTGCTCTCTATTCAAGGGTCAGGTCTGCTGACTTTCCTGACAGGTGAAATTGCTTTTTATTAGACTCCTGTTTGAAGTCTACATTGATGAGGCTTATCAGCTGCCCAGCAGTAGTGGAGTTTCTTTCTCCAAAGACTGAACTATTCTGCTGTTTTTCGGATATAATTACAGTACTCTGCTGTCTGATTGGATTAGTCTTTTAGGTCTATCTTCACATTGCTCTCAATACAATTTTGGGACAGGCCCACCTAAGGCAGGGAATGTATCTTATTTAGACTAAGCGGTTGATAAAACCATCCCTTTTATTTCATGCATGTTTGGGAGATAGGTGCATATTTTCTAAAGGAAACAGCCATCCGACTCTGCTAGGCTGGAATGCATTAAACACCGCCAACCAACCAAAAATCCCTTGAAGGTGGTATTTGTGTTCTGCAGTGGATTTTCTCTGAGTCAGCGTGAGATGCTTCCACAGTAGGATTAAAGAGCTGCAACACTTCGTTCGAGAATACTATATTAGTGGTTTTGAACCCTGGCTGATAGCAGCATCACCCAGGCTTTACAAAAACAATCCCAGTTGGCTATCCCACTGTCCTTTGTAACCACATCCCTTCTCTGTCTTACTGGCACCCAGAATGTCAAAGCAAAGATGTGGTGGCTGGGCTGGTACATACTTTGAATTGTCTAGGGTCTTTTAGTAAAAGCAGTGATCAACTCTGCTAACACAACAGAAGCCAACAATCTGAGTGTCATGTTGATGCGGTTTACCCAGGGCAGCTGCCCCGGCTCCCCACTGCCAGTGTGGGTGGTGGGAGGGCAGCCGCATTTGAGGAAGGCCAACCAGGGTACAAAGCGAAGGCACATCTATTAGTGAAACCCGACCATTACAAGCATACTAGAGAGAGAACTGTGTGTTCCTTTATTCTGAAGAGATATAGTTAAGGAGTTAAGTAAACATTAAACAAAGGGGAAAGGAAAGGTTCTGCCCTTAGGGAACCTCTTGTGAGAAGCAGGCAGACTGTGGCCCAGGAATATGCCCAGTGCCACTTATGTTGCATAATTCTTCAGTGCATTCTTCAGAAGTGCTCTATGAAAACAATCTGCTCCTCCATGGAAAATCCAGTTGCCGAGGCTGCAACCGCAGGAGTGTTTATGTGACTGGTCTGGAGTGGAACCTGGGCAACAGCACTTTTTGAAAACTCTCCACGTGATTGTAATATGCAACTGGTATTGAGCATCTCTTTGGGATGGAATATTCTTCCACCTGCTACCAATCTGAAGTCTGGGCTAGATG